TAATTAAATAAAATCACATTTTGAGACGACACTGGAATTAATAATGAATAAAATTTCATAACACAAATAAAAAGTAAGACAGACATATTTAGCGACAATCTCCATCATTTAGTAATTATTTTTTTACTTGTTTTAATACGAGTAAAGCTCAAGAGGCAAGAAAGTTATATTATTGACCGCTTAATCTAAAAAAAAATGTTTAATTGTCAAAATATCAGTGCCGTACTATAATTTTACCTATAAGTATTAAGTAGGTAGCTCCATGAGACGTCACTGGAATAAATACATTTATTTTATTGTTACCAAAGAAAGGGCATTTTCACGAAAAATAAGCCTATTCAGTAAAAGCACTTTTGGGACGTATTACGTACAATATTTTTTTTAAAACGGGCATTGTTGTACCATAAACTTCATATTATTCAGTTTACATTTTTATAACAAGAACTCTTTATTGACTAATTTTAACAATTTTTTTTAACAATCGTTAATTTTTGATTTACAAATATAGACATTATTTTTGAATAGTTATATTAAACGTACAATTATTAGCACTACTTTTCTGTAGAGAGCGGAATATATGCAAAATGCATATATATGCATTTTTTGCATATTTTACCAAAGTTCAGAAAATTTAAGAAAATATTGCATATTTTCGAAAAAAAAAATGTATTACTATACTGTGCAAATCAAAAACTGTTTTAACAGATTATACAGATATATTTGAAATAAAGACCTTTTAAATTTTTGTATTTGTTTTTAAGTGTCACTTCTTGTAAATTCTTGTTAATTAGTTCTTGGAGGGGGGCATGCACTGGGTTTTTACCTTCTTAAGAGATTAAGCCCATTAAGGTAATTGTTAATAGATGGTATTTACACAGATAAAGTATTACCTACAATGCAATAAAACGGTTTATATAAAATTCTCAGTAATTTCTTGTAACCAATCTACCCTAACATCGGAATATTTTGAATGTTTTTCATTCAGTTTAAAGAGATAGTATCCTCGTTATTTGCCTAGTGAAAAGTCTTGTAATAATTTGTTGTTTTAAAAGTGTCCTCAAATGTCGAGAATTTCTTCGTGGATTATTAACTTTCCAGAGTTGGAAATCAATGGGGATAAAGTTTTTTGTAAAGCTTGTGCCAAAATAGTGGTTTGCGAAAAAAAGTTCAAAGTGGTTCAACACGTGAAAACATCATTGCATAAAGCCAAATTGCAAAAAATGAAATCACAACCGGTTCAACAATGCGTTGTGAGGTCATTTCAAAACGCCGACAAAACAAAAAGTGACAAGGAGGTATTTAATCAGGACTTGTGCAAAGCTCTTGTTGCGGCAAATATTCCATTAAAGAAGTTAGAGAGTTAGAGAATTTTTACAAAAATATTGCAATCAAACCATTCCTGACGAATCTACACTCAGAAAAAAAAATGTACATGCTATATATATAAATGTAATAGAAGAAATTAAAGTTTTACTGGATGATAGCAATTTTTACATCATTGTTGATGAAAGCACATATGCTTGTGGAAGATATATGGTACATCTTATGATTGGAGCCTTAAAAGAAAATGAACCAGGTACATCATATTTAATTGCATCAAAACAGTTAGAAAAAACTAACAATACAACTGTTACCCGATTTATTCAACAATCTGTAGCATAATTTTTTTTACCAAATCAAATTCCCTAAGAGAAGTTCTTAGTGTTTTTGTCTGACGCAGCACCATATATGATAAAAGTAGGGCAAAACTTAAAAATATTTTATCCAAATATGGTCCTGCATGGAATAAACTTAGTTGCAGAAACTGTGAGAACAGAATATCCCTTGGTTAACAAGCTAATTTCGAATGTGAAAAAAATATTTTTAAAAGCCCCTTTAAGAGTGCAGTTGTATAAAGAGAGAATGGTAGGGGTGTGTTTGCCCCCGGAACCCGTAATTACGCGATGGGGGACATGGATTAAAGCAGCTATATTCTATGCAGAAAATGTTGAAGCAATTAAGGATTTAATTTTGGATATAGAAGACAATTCACAATGTGTAGTGCAAAGTAAAGAATTGTTAAAAAATCCCCTTGTGCCTAAGCAACTTGTGTTTATAAAGGTTAATTTTAGTTTTTTACCTGATGTAATAACTTCATTGGAAAAAAAAAATTTAAGTTTAATCGAATCAACAAATTTTATTCCAACAGTTTCCGATAAATGTAACAATGTTCCTGGTGACATAGGCCTTAAGATTAGAAAAAAATTAAATACAACTTTATTAAAGAATGAAGGGTTCAATGAAATAAGGGAAGTGAAAAACATTTTTGTGGGAAATTTTTCCAAAGAAGTTTTACGTTGGCCCTGTACATTACTTCCAAAATTACGGTATTGTCCTATTACTTTGGTAGATGTTGAAAGGACCTTTTCTATATCAAAACATATTTTTACAGACAGAAGACAAAAATTTTTAATAGAAAATTTCGAAAAATATTTAATTATAAATTCCTATTATAATATTACTATTTAATATTTTTATACTATTTTATACTTAACTTCTACTAGTTTTTGTGTTTCGTTTGTTTTAAATAAATTTTTATATTACATATTTTCTTTTGTTTTTTTTTTTTTTTTCGTGTAATGGCTTTGATAGCGTACCAAATTAGGAACAGCAATGTTAATTAGAACCCGACAGTGAATGGTCAAGTGGAAATATTCGCTACGCATCACAATTAATTTTTAAATAAATAAATTAATTTAAAAAATCGCGTCCCGGCTGGAATTTGAACCCGGGACCCCTAAGTCCACAGGCCAACGCACTAACCACTGAGCTACCCACCCCTACTTTTTTTTTTAAGTATTTTTAACAAATATGCATTTGCATATTTAGGCATAATTGGACAAAATAACTGCATATTTTTGGTAAAAACGATGCATATATATGCGCATATTTTGTTATATTTTGATGCATGTATTCCGCCCTCTACTTATTATTTCAAAATTATTCGTTGACGTGAGATTTTTTGAACTGCTTACATTATAATGAGTTTCTGAGACAATTTCTGTGTTTGAGCTATCTGCTTTTTGAATTTTGTTAGCTATATCAATCTTATTCTGAACTGAATCCTCAATGTAGCCTTCGGCAACTTGAGATGAACTCCAACCACTATGTCGTTTTAAGTTTATGATGTCAGCACCTAAGTTAGCTAGCACAGTCGCCGAACTATGCCTAAATCAATGCCCTGTGTATTCCTTTGAGTTTGGCAATCTCAAAAATGTAGCTATTTTGAAGGGAGCATTACCTACAGTATGTATGCCTACAGGTTGTTTGTTACATTTTCCTTTATTGTAATTAATAAAGAGACGTCGATGAGGAACGTTGGTTGAGCGTAGCGCTATATACTTCCTATACAAATTTAGCTCTTTTTCTCCAATAATAATAAATGATCTTGATTTGTTTATTTTGGTGTTTGAAATTTTAACCAAAAGCATAATTTGTTTGTCTTCTATGTCGTCAATTAATATATTAGTGATTTCTTCCCGTCGACATGCACCAGTATAACCCATAAACAACAACACTTTGGTCATTAGATATTGTTCGTCTGAAGCTTCTACTAAAAACTTATCGATATCCTCTTTATTAAGTACTCTAGACTTCTTTGCTTTATACCCTACGGATTTTTTCTTCATAAACGCTGTTAATTTAAAATATTTGCTTATGTCGATATTTCTTCTGGTACGTAGCATGGCCTTCAGCTTATTACCTTCTTTTCCAGGCACCACTTTTCAAAAATTTGGTATGTTTGTTCATATCGTCTCCGGGACTTCGACGGTAATAAATCAAACGTTGCTTGGGTGGCCGCCTTAACAATTTCATCTGGTATAATTTCATCTTCCATTAATTCACAATCAAATGCATCATTTTGAATATCCATTTTATAATAAATGTCACGTTTTCAACTAAACGTCAAAATATGTCAAGTTATTTTATAGTTTTAAATAATACAAAACTCGGTTACTATAGAAACCAATTGACCGCTATCTTATTTTATTATTTTATTATTTTTTCATTAAAGATAGGCCGGAAAGTAAATAAAAATGAGTCCGGTAATAGTATATTACATTACGAGTGTGGAAAGTGACATTTTTCACACGAGTGGGAAATATTGTCGCACGAGGCACAAGCCGAGTGCGACTATCACACGAGTGTGGAAAATCACTTTTCACACAAGTGATGTACAATATTTTTCCTACGACCACAAAATATATTTTCATCAAAAAATGTAAAACCAGGTTATTATAATAATTAAAATGTATTTAAAAAAATAATCAACAACAATCGTATTTATTCAATTTTCATATATTAAAAAAAAAATTAAAAAAAAAAATTAAAAAAAAAAGAAAAAAAAGTTCTGGTTCCGCCAGGATTCGAACGCGGTCGTTCGCCTGGTCTCTTAAATGGCAAATTTGATAGTTTGATGCTCTAACCAACTGAGTTAACAGGCCTTGTCAATTGAGTGATCTAATCGGTTATATGTTTAACCAGAATAAAAAGCAAACATAATCTTAGTTATTTTAAAATTATTTTAATAATAATTGTTAAGGATAAATATCTAGGATCTAATTGACAACAATTTCAATAATTTAACAATCATATCGATTTTAGTATTAATATGGACATTACATAGATCAAAATAGAAATTAGGTGTTTGACATTTTGTAACAACTACTGCGGAAAGTAACATATTCTCACTCGGGTGGAAAGTAAATTCTTATTCATACGCGTGTGATATAGGGCACTTTCCATAGGACTTTATAGTGTCACTTTCCTAAGTGGTCGTAGGAAAAAGCTTTTACCGAACTATCTCAATAATTTTCTGACTCGGTCCGACAAAATGAGATTTTCTGACCTAAAAATAAACCGGAAAGTACTAATTTCTGGCCTGTTTAAAAAAAATTTCTATAAATTGATTTAAAAACAGTTTTAAAACACGTAATTAATATATGAATGGACGTAGTTACCTTAAGCCATCATCACTGTATGAATATGGTCCATCTCTTTTGGCCGCTACCCCTCTGCAAATAGGTGCATACAAATGTTTCCTAAAATTTTAAGAAAATAATCATATTATTAGGATGAATGCGTCGCATTACTGCTATGTCTAGTTTTCGGAGAATATTTTGAGCACCTTCTAAAATTATTTCTCCACTACTGAATGTAATTTTTCCGAAACCACTAACACAAAGAAAACATTCTCGCTCTTTAGATTGAAAGAAAATTCTGAAACACTTGCCTCTTATGTATTTTATTCTGACTCTAGAGACAAAATGTTCAATGACTGTGAATACCACACCCGCATCGTAGATAGTCATGAATTTTATGACTGGCAGTTCTGCGTGACGCATTAGTATTTAGTTTAAATGTGCCTGTATAAAGATAAGCGGCGTTTTTTAAGTCGAATTTATATTCAAAAATTGGAGAATATAAGGATTATACAGTGCGTCCATAAAGTAGGTAACGCATAAATTCATTATTAGCTAAACAATCAATAATATTATAAATTCCCGAAACAGGTCGATTTTTCGATTTTAATTTACTATTTTTTTAATTTATAATCTAATATTCAGGGTGAACCACCTTCGTGTGATGACGTCACCACCATTTTTATTAAATGGAACCCCCTTTTTTCAATTTCCAGATTTCCCTTGCTGAGCTATTTCCAAAAATATATAACACGTTACTTCAAATTGCTACAGGGTGGACAAAAATACAAAAAAAAACTATTAAAAGTTATACGTTACTGAATGTAATAAACAAATGAAATGGAATTACGTAGTTATGCAACTACTGTAATACACTACCAAAAACAAACAAACGAAAATTTACAATAAATGTTCAAATTGTTCTCCATTCATCGTTATACAATGACTGAACCATGCATTACTTTCGTCTCTAACATTCCGTAGCATAGCGGGTATTATGTTCTGTATTTCTTGTCTAATTTGGTCTTGTAGTTGACGGATATTTCCAGGTTTGTGTAGACTTTAGATTTTAAATAACCCCATAGAAAGAAGCCTAATGGGCTCAGGTCAGGTGATCTAGCGGGCCATTCCAGTGGTCCCCTTATTCATATCCACCGTTGTGGAAAAGTTCTGTTTAAAAATCACGCACAGTTACCGCGAAATGTGGCGGTGCGCCATTCTGTTGAAACCAAATTCTGCGGTCTAAACTAGTGGCTATTTGGATATCAGGAGAAAGCTGGATCAGATCAGGAAATAATGTATTTTGTAGGAAATCCAGATATGATGCTCCTATTAAATTTTCATCGAAAAAATATGGACCAATAATTGTATTTCTCACAATACCATACCATACGTTGGTTTTTTGTGGTCTTTGCATATGGTACTTTTGCATCCAGTTTGGATTTTCATCAGACCAATAACGGGTGTTTGGCGGGTTAACATGATCGTTCAAATAAAACGTTGTCTGTTCCGAAAATAAAACGTTATCAATGAAATTGTTATTTTGGTTCATCATATACTCGCAGAAGAATTCAAGTCGTCTTCAGCCAATTCATGGATAAGACGTACTTTATGAGGATAGTATTTTACTTTTTTAAAAATGTTTGATACTGAAGACTTTCCAATACCAAAATCCATAGATAATCCTCGCACTGTACAGTGTTGCCGACAAAATTATATCTTGTTGAATATTTATATAAATTTTTACTCTACCTAGCTTTGCTGCATCCCTCACATGTCCTAATTCTTGCTCTATTCTGCTTGCCGTAGATTGTGAAATAGGTTCACCATCTGGGTGCATTTTATGGAATAATCGGCATACCTCTTGTTGAGTCCGCATCTTATCGCCAATACCAATCATCATTATTATTTCAATCATATCACTTTCGGTTAAAGGCATTTTGTAAAAAAGGTTGCAAATGATAAATTGTTTGGATAGTTTTCACGTAAACGTACCTTCTCTAAAGCGTTAACAAACAGAATTCTACATTAATGTTTCTGACAGTCAAATGAAAAAAATGGTAAAAAATACTGTCAAACAATAAAAATATTTTTATAGTTCAGGGGCTTGGATCACTAATAAAAGCTGTTAGATACAATGTTAAAAATAATGCAGAGTGTTTTTAATAGTTTATTAAAGTAGTTGTATAACAATACGTAATTTCATTTAAGGTGTTTGTTACGTTTATTCTTTGTTATTTTGTAAGTAACATGAAATTTTTGCATTTTTGCATTTTTGCCCACCCTGTACCAAATTTTAGCAAAGAATTATACATTTTTAGAATCAGCTCAGCAACGGCAATCCGAAAATTAAAAAAAAGGGGGTTACATTTAAAAAAAATGGTGATGACGTGGTTCACCCTGTATATTAGATTAAAATTTGAAAAATAGTAAATTAAAATCAAAAATTGACCTGTTTCGGGAATTTCTAATATTATTTTTTATTTAGATAATAATGAATGTATGCGTTACTTTATGGACGCACTGTGTATAATTTGATCATATTCCTCCTGAACTGACAAATTTAAATAATTTATATAAAAACTTGCCTATCATATGCATAAGTTAGCTTAAATATTTCATTTTGTTCAAAGTTTCTTTTACTACATTCCACACCTTCTGTGTTTGTGGCTGTGGAGAAAGAACAGTATGTTACTCTCTTAGAATGAAAGTTCGATTATCGTATCAAATTTTCATTTTAACCTTGTTACAAAATATCTATTATAGTCAATATGCAGGGCTATAATTTATTAATTTTGAAAATGTAATAGAATACTTTTATTTGTTTAATTTACTTTATTTAAAATTATTTAGTCGCATAAATTCTTAAGTGCGATATATTTTTGAATTCCGCTTTTCAAGTCTCTTCCATCAAAGTGGTACACGCTCTGCTTACTATTTAAATAAAATATAGGGGTTGATGTCACGTGAAAAGGATTAAAAGGTAGGCAGGTTTTTATGCTATAAAATTGACGAGTCTGACGGTTTTTCACTTTTGTTTTAAATAACGAAGTTTACAGGGGGAGTAAGACTTAACATCTACACTGAATACCTATAATGTTTGAAGACAACGACGAATAACTACTAGACTAATTTTGATTACAAAAATCGAATTGCAAACATTCACGATTTCAAAATTACAGTAAGGAGGTATATTTGCAATCTTAATTCCAGTTATTAGTAGTTATTAGTTAAATAGAGGTATATATAAACCGAACAAAATCAAATTTCAAATTACAAACTTATAATCTTACAAATTTGCGCATTGATCATCATATAATATTTGAAACATTTTTCTTTTAAAAGATAAATTTTAGAAAATATTGTTAACTATACTCGAACAATTTTTAAATGATGGTGATTCATCTTGCGGATTACACTGTGGTCAACCGGCAACAATGTAATTCTATTATGATTTTTCAGAGCTCAACTTACCGGGATCATTTTATTGTTTATGCTTTGTCAACGCGGAAATTTAAAAAGTGAAATTACTTCGTAATATTTACTCCTCGTACAAATATTATATCTAGCCAAGTTAGGTAAATACTTTGAATCAGCGATAAACTCGTCAATACTAAGAAGGTCTACTGGGAAGTCTAATAAACCAGTTAGGTATTAATTCAATTAAATAAATCAGTGTCGTAGCGTGAGACAGGTTGGTTAGTTGTAGTAGTTTATTTTTAGGTTGATAGTGTATAATAACTTTTTGTGTTAACATTGTCCGGTTGACTGAGATAGACATTGTGTTATATTTATTAACTTGAAACTAAATGTTTATTAAGATAAGTAAATAACGGATACGTAGACCAGTCTAATTAAGTATACCACAGCACCTCCGGTTCTTGATATTATGATATAAATTTAAATTTTAGTTAATCCCTTCCTGGCTAATTAGGGTCGCAGGTAGTTGATGGGTTAAATATTTATCGTGTGGCACTGACCACAATATATCCCCTATAGTAATGTAACTGGGATTCAAGAAATGGCTTTGAGTTACGCTGCGGCCAGACACAGGTCTCATGGCGCTAGTATCGTTATTGATTTTTGACTTCGGCACGTTCATTGGTTGACGACGAATTCAAAACAATCTGATCGGAGCGTTACTCACTCCCACTCCTTCTCTTTGTTTAGATACTTATAAAAGAAAGAGATACCAGTTAATAATTTCTATTTCGAATCATCTTTCATTCTTTAGCGTTGAGTTTTTATAAGTGAAGCGTGAAGTGTCACTAGTGTCAGTGTTGACAAGTGATAATTTTTTGATTTTTTCTTCTACGAAATTTAATATTAATTTTGTTTCAGCGATATTTATTGCGATTTGTGTTGTTGTATTAAGTGCTTTCTTATTTAATATGGGAAACAAAACGTACAACAAACTCAGAAAAAGAGGAATCGAGGAGGGATTGCTATCTATGGCTATCATCCAAGGGTCTGCGCCCTAGATAATACTTTTCCAGTGGGAAAAGCCTTTAAAATTCAAGTATAACAATTTTATGTTTCCGTTTTCCCTTCTTTTAATGTAGGTGCCAATTTTGAGGTAAGTTTGTAATAATTTTTCAGTTAATACCTACCCTCTTAATATTATAATTTAACTATGATCTTATGCTTTCCTATGGACACTATTCAAGGAGGGAGTCCTATGGCTGTCATCCAAGCCCTAGATAATAGTTTTCCAGTGGCAACAGCCTTTAAAATTCAAGTATAATAATTTACTTTTTTCGAAGTAGATGTCCATTTAAACTAAATTTTTTTATTTCACTTATTGATTTTAGCATTTATATACAGTATCGGCTAATGAACACTTTCCAATACGCTTGGCTAGAATCGAAAATAAAACTAAAGAGTTAGCGCATTAGTTCGATCAGGAAACGAATAATATGAATGTTGCCTTGTGTGCTGTGTAATATGAACAGGCACACGGTGTGATGCATCCCCACGTAGCCGGCTGGCTACGTTCATAGTATTCTATTCCTTCTCCCACTAATGCTAACTCTTTGTAGTTTTTACTTGTTTATTAGCAAAACGTATTGTACAACATTCGATAGCTGCCACTGTATTATCACAAACATCTCTTAATAACT